ACCCACTGCACTCAGAATGACATCCAAACTCTTAATTTTAACCATATTTTCTATTATATACCTTGCTTACTATAATCAATATTTGCACAGGACATTTCTTTCCTTAATTTATGTCTTAGGTCAAAGGTTACTTTCACATAGAAGTCTTCTATAACCACAATATCTGTGTGTATCCTCTACTACCACTCCTGTTACTTTGTAAGTTCTTAACTTGTTTGAATTTTTCAAGGCCCTGGAGATACTAATATATTCTCTCTCTCTCTCTCTCTGGAGATACTTATTCTCTCTCTCTTTNCACACACACACACACACACACATTTCTTCATTACATTATTAAAATGTAATGTACATAACATTTGCTCTTTGTCATCTTTTTCACCTATTTTTATAAGTTTTTGGCATATAGTAGGTATTCTATATATACTTGTTGAAGGAGATAAGTAACTTGCTTACAGTTGTTCAGTATTTAAGCTATTGCTAACAAGTAGAGAGAAATAATGACATAATGATAACAGTGTGTTAGAATGATTCATCTGAAGCTAGAATTTTAAGTGGATACTACATAAAACAAATAGGTAGAACCCGAATATCTCTAGTTTCTGTGTGAGAAACTATTTTATATTTATTTTATTTATTGAGGGGTACTGGGAATTGATCTCAGGGGCACTCAAAAACTGAGCCACATCTCCAGCCCTATTGTATTTTATTTAGAGACAGGGTCTCACTGAGTTGCTTAGTGCCTTGCTTTTGCTGAGGCTGGCTTGCAATCCTCCTGCCTTGGCCTCCGGAGCTGCTGAGATTATAGGCATGTACCACCATGCCCAGCTATTTTTATTTTTAAAGCTTACCAAGGTTTTCTGACACTCTTTCTAAGTTGGGACCAACACAATAAAGACTTGGGAAAAGGAAATTTCAAGTGGAGGTTAAGAGAGGAGAAAAAGATTTGGGCGTTGAATAATGGGAAATAATAATTAATTTTTTTCCTTCTCAATACTATCTTATTATAAAGTTCTAATTATTTGATATTCTGGTCCATCTGAAGGACAGAGTAAGCAAGGAGACCAAAAAAAGGATTRGGTATATATGTCATAAGATTGAATTACTATGTTCAAATTCTTACCTATTGGAGGCACTCAATAAAATTTGATGGGTGGAAGTATGTAGTATGCATTGTATGTATATGGTTTGATGATGTGACTAGTATATTCAGAAAATGGTTTAGGTATGTTCAATTCCACAATAATAGAATATAGCAAAAGCAACCACAAACTAGGAAAGCCAAACTTTGCTAAAAACTGCTCTTAGGAAATAAAGAATACCATGCTGCTTTTGTTACTATTGTATAAAGGCATGAATTGGTGTGAACATACTCTATATACAAAGATATAAAAAACTGTACTCTATATGTGTAATAAGAAATGTAATGCATTCCACTGTCATGTATTTTAAAAAATAAAATCAATACAACTAAAAATAATAATAAAATAAAAGCAATGAAAGGTTCTCAAAAATGGGAAAAAAAAGAAATAAAGAAAAAGTGGGGGGAAAACCCTACACAACATATGCCCAAAGGTTATAAGAACTCAAGAAAAACAAAGGGCTCATATTTTGAAATCAATAAAATAATAAAAGAAAAAAAAAGATTTCTTTAACTTGAAACCAAGGGAAGTAAGTGCAAAGACAGTAAAAGTAGTACTAAAGATAAAATTAGTGGTGGTTTTCATCACAGAACATCTAATATGCTTATAAATAATTTTCYAAGAACAGATTCAGATGAGTTCAGAAAAGCATGAAATAAGTTGGTGACTGTTGAGATGAAGTAAATTTTCTAGGAGTGCTAATTCCAGTCTGAAATACAAGTAAGTTTAGGATAGTAATTCCATGTCTCAGAARCCCTGCATGTTACAAAAAGAGGCATGCTGCATACCTAAGAGGGAGACTATGGACATGATCTTCAGCTCAAATATTCCATTCTACTCTTATGCTATGTTTAAATTTGGGAAATAGACTCAACTTGTCACAAACCAACCAAAAAAAAAAGGGAATGGTCTTTTAACCTAAAGAGATTAATTTCAGATTTCTCACGGTGACCAGTTTTTCCAATATGAGTTTAAGTGGCACAGAGGTACCAGGACACAGACAATCCTGATTCAATTAATTCAGCTAAATTTAAAGAATGTGACTATGAGTATAGCTCAGTGGTAGAGCATTGTCTATTATGTATGAGGTTTTGGGTTCAATCCCCAGCACTGGCTTGGGTGGGACAAGAGGTAAAACACTTAAAGAATGTTTGTATATCAAATTGGTCATTGCTCCATAGTGCATCTTGAACTGTCATCTGTACAACACTAAAAATGTAATCAGAGTAAATCTAGACCCTTATATAGTATTTTAAAAATAAAGCTGTTTTGGTCCCAAGCACTTTGAGCTACAAATTAATATCAGGTATGTTTGGTGCTTCCACTCTAGTATAGTATATTTTTTCTCATGTGTGAAGGCAGGATGACAGTGCTACATATGCTAAGAAGTTCTTTAAGACTGAAGCTCTACAGCTTTACAAACCTGCCATCTGAAGCATTTATTTAATTCTTCAATCCTAATACTTGACAGTGTGACTACTGATTAAGTACTTTGCTTTCCTCACTGCAATGAATAAAGACAGATCTAATTTTTGCCCACAGACTTCTCCCAGTATATCAAGCAAATAATAGAATCTCTCTCCACTAACTGGAATCTGTTTGAGGCATGAGAAAAACAAAGATATAAATACAGGATTTGGAACATAATTTTTCTGTGGTGTTTTGATACTCAACTCTAGTTCTTTACAGAATAAACATTACCTCTCTGCARGACAACATCCTGTTGTGCTAGGACTATTCCCAAGAGTCTCATTAAGAGAGGTGGGCAGCCAGGGTTTGGTTCCTTTGGTCCACCCAAATCCAAATGATACATTTCTAATGTTTGTTAACTTCTCAATTATCTTTTGTATTTTGAAGAAATGCTAGTTCTAAAAATATACCCTTTCTTCTATTGAAGAGACTTAGAATGTACTTGTCATATACATGTCTCTGACTTTAAATTTGAAAATGAGAAAGTTTATGTATCRTAAAACTTTATTTTTATAGATCTGATTCATCCAAATTATAATTAGTCTTCTAATCTTAACCAAAAGAAACTRAAATATTATTCTTAAATCATAAGAAAACATGAAAGTAGAAGTGACACAAACTCAACCAAGATGCAGTTACAATTTTATAACTCTAAAGAAATGAACTGAATTATGTCAACTGTCAAAGTATACATAACTAATTTAAACCCAATAAAAATATAAATGAATAAACAAATAAAAAACATAAATAAAATTCATAATTAAAGCTGATATACATCAGCAGCTGTCTTTTTACAATTTTAAAAATTACTGAGGACCCTAAAAAAGCCTTTACACAGGTTATATCAAAATTTACTATATTATAAGTTAAAACTAAAAATTTTCAGAACATTGGGTAATTTTAAAAACATATTAGCATAAATTAACATTTTATGAAAAATTACTGTTTTTCCATAAACAAAAATATTAGTGAGACAAGTGGCTTGATTTTACATTTTTTCAAATTTCTTTAATGTCTTAATAAAAGAGAACTAGACATCTGCTTCTGCACTCCATCAGCTACAATGTGTTGTTTTGGTTGAAGTATAGGCAGAAAAATCTTTCCTTGCACATAGTTGGAAAAGGAAGTATTTTAATAGTCTTTTTAGATAAATGTAGATATTCTCCCTGGAATCTACAACAAATCTCAGTAAGTAATAATTTCTTAAAAGGCAGTTACAACGTGGACTATGTAGCCAAATCACTAAATTTTTAGCATTATATCACATTACATTCCTTAGTCTATTTGGCACTTTGAATTAATCTTCTATCCACAAATGATCTTATAATTTCAGGAATTGTTCATTATAAAAAATATGAGTTATACAGATCTGCCAAAATGTTAAAGAATGTAATTAAATAGTTAAAATTGCATTTGCTAATATCAGCAACCGTGTTATTAGCAAAGTATTTATCAACCTTTATCAAGTCATCAAGCCTAAGATGATGAATTTAAGTTTTCCAAAAGTGGAGTTCTTACTTCAAAGCTTTAGTTTTACCACTAGCAATGAATATAGTCAGCTGCTTTCTGAAGTGATTGCTCCAGGAAGAAAGCTTATGTTTTAAATTTTTTTCCAAGAAAATGTCTGCCAAATGATGAAATCTAAAAAAAAAATATAGTTTTAAAGTTTCTTTCTAGTAAAAATACAGTCTTAAATGAAGACTATTCAAACAATTCAAACACTGCAGAATTAACTACCTTTCTCCAGGTAAACATAATATATCAATATGCTACAGAAATGTTTATGCCTATTTCCCCTTTTGTCACTCAGGAAATTAAAAAGACATATACTCAAAAGTTGAGAATTAATAAAATTAAGGTTTACTGCATCATCATAGACATTCTTACAGGAAACTGGCTTTTTTCATGATGAGTGTATGGTAAGGAAGAACTCAATGACTACTAATTCACTTTGCTGCCACCACCTCAATTTGTACCAAGGCACAAGGATTTTCACTTACCATTAGCAGTACAAATATTAACACAGTAAAAAGTCAAATAACATGAGATCTTAGAACCTCACAGAAAGGGTCTTGGAGACCCCCAGATTTCTGCAGGACACTGTTTGAGAGCCACTGGCTTAGATAATTCAAGATGTTAAAACAGGAAATATTTTATCACACTTCTTAAAAGGAAATTTGTAGTGAGTAGTTTCATATCTTCCTGCTATTCAAGATGCACAAAGATGCACAGTGAAGACTCATGAACATTCTAGAATAACTASTTGCAATGAAAAAAAGAAAAAAAGAGGGTTCTGAAATTTTTTACAGCAAAAAATTCAAATATTTTATATATATATGTTAAAAAGCACTTACAATTAGATTATACATATTACATTTATCAATGTCTTACCTTAGCTCTAGAGGAACTGACATTTTCCATATTTTCAATGCTGCAGATACAATTCTGAGAAACTTTCCGGCAAGCCACTCTGATATAGTCCCAGAAGCTACGTGGACTCTCATAACCAAACCAGGTTACTTGACCTTCAGGAGATAAATTGTAATACAAAATAAAAGAAAACTGGAATAGAAAATTAAAAATACAAGAACAATAAAATTCTGAAAAATAAAGAATACTATAGTGTGCTAATGTAAAAGGGATATGGATTTAGGTGTTGAAAATTCTAAAATCTAATCCCATTCTACCTTTAGTTGTGTTACTTTGGAAAACTGACTTAATGAGTCTGGATCACAGTTTTTCTTAACAATAAAATCAAGGCAAATGAAATTAAAAGGAATTAGATGCTAAAAATGTCTTGTAGCTCAATATTTTATTATCTAAGACAGTTTTACAAAATGCACAAAAGACCTTCCTTATGTTTCCCGTATATGAGTTAAACATGAATTTAAACATCTCCAGGTGAATTTTAAACCTTACTTTGAAAAACAGAAAAAATAGTGTCAATTCTTTTCTCCCTCTTTATAGGTTATTTCAAAAGGTGAAACAATGTATGCTCTATCCAATAAGCAAATAAAATCAATTAGCATCCCATATTCACTGATAATTCACAATCTTCTACTAAACATAAAGCTCCCCTATGTTACTCATTTGCTCTCATCTAGTCACTAATCCATGACAACTCTAGGTATTTCCCATGCTCATCTCTYAAATTTGGGTAATTATGTATCTACTTATGACCAAATGCTCCACTAGATGTATGTTGTATTAATATTTCTATGTAGGGCTCTGAGTAGTCGGTTCATGAAAGCCATTTTTGTACTTATATTTTTAAGTGGGATATAAGAGACACCTTTCTTCATTTGTCTGCAGTGATAAGTCATCTTACCCAGGGAAGTTGCTTAAATCTTAATATAGAAAGACTTGCTTTTATATTTTAAATATGTGCCTCTTTATTTTGAATTATTTATTCATCTCAAACCTTTCCTTTTCTAGTAATAACTTCTTTCCAGAGACATCAAAAAGTGTTCCTGTCAGCAAGCACCATTTTAGAAGCAATGTCTAAGATGCTATTTGAATGGTTCTCAAGGGCAGCACATCTGAATAACTGGACTGCCTTTAGAAATACTCATCCCTGGTTTTCCTGCAAACTGAATAATCAAAACCATTAGGGGAGGGCCCAGGCATGGGTATTTTTTAAAATGTTTCCCTGGCATTTCTAATGATGTACTGATGGTTAATCAAACAACAGAAATCCAAACAGTCGTGATTCAGCACTCAGGACATMTTAAAAGCCCCTCTCTTCCAGTAAGCTGTGTGAGATCTCTACAGTTAGTCCCACTGGTTGGCACAGCACCCTGTGCTTACTCATTATATTTTTTTTCTTTACTTGATTATCTCACATTAGGTGATAAAATCACTAAGGCAGTGATTGCATCTTATTTTCCTTTCAATCAATTTCCAGCACTTCACACCATGTTCGGCTCACAGTAGGCATTCAATAAATTACTTATTTTTTCAATAAATAAACTGATAAATAAGCACAAAACAAATCATCTTAATCACAATGAGCATAAAACCTTAAAATTTTAAAGTATTTTCATAGTAAGTTTTGGTGAGAATCTGGTTTTGAGTTGTCTGTATATAGATTACAAATATAAAATATTTTAGACAAACATATTTACCTTTGTCTACATATAAATAAAAACACAAAAGCACATGTAAATCTTTATTCAAGTAACTAAATAATTCAGTATCTCTTTAAAAATCATATCTTACTACTACAAATAGATATCTATAAGCATATTTAAATCTCTCTTCTTCCTCTTAATCTCTTTCCATCATTTTCCTTTGGCCACTCTCTTCTCTGAGGTAAAAAAAATTCCTGCTGCTGGATGCGGTGGTACACGCCTGTAATGCTAACAGCTCAGGAGGCTGACACAGGATGATAGCAAGTTCAAAGCCAGCCTCAGCAAAAGCGAGGAACTAAGTAACTCAGTGAGACCCTGTCTCTAATAAAATACAAAAATTGGGCTGGGGATGTGGCTCAGTGGTTAAGTGCCTCTAAGTTCAATCCCTGGTCTTCCCCCCAACCCCCCACCCCAGGCCAAAGAAAAAAAATCCTGGTATAATACTTCCCTATAGTTTGTCTTAGGATGCTTTTCAAGTTACTCACCTGTTAGCCCTCTGAAAGACTGATACAGGGGAGTAAGGATGCCTTGGAGGTTAATAACATGGTTTTTTGAGTCAGGTGGATCTTAACTAGATGGAGTTCTAGCTATGTGATATTGACCAAATAACTTAAATTCATTGTATAAGTCTTAGCCTCTTCTATAAATTGAGAATAATGCTAGCATCTACCCGATATCATTAGGATTAGATGAGACAAAGTAGCATTGAGCCTGGTTAATATCAAATATTAGAAAAGTGTTCATTATTGCTTCTGTTATTACTGTTWAAAAAGTTCCCCTTGCACCACAAACAAGTAGGAATAATATGCAAAGTTAAATTTTTCTCATTACTTGCTGAGAATTTAGACAAAATTTTGAAATTTACTTTCTAATCCAACCTTTCACCATATCAACGCTTCCAAATGTATCTCCTCAAAATGTTTTTAGTCTCAACTAGTCTTCCTTGCCTTCCATTTTCTGGCAACATTCTATAATTTTTTCAATGAGAGGTATAGCTACCAAGAAATGGAATACTACACACTGTCAGAGAAGAAAGAATCATAAGAATTATTCTCTGCTAGAGTTAAATCTCTGTAAAAGGCAATACGGGAGACAAAGTAAGAGAAGCAGGCAAAGAAAAGGCAACACTGTATTAACTAGTGCAACCACCCAGAGAGGTAAGCAAAGAGAAAGGTAAAGCAAAGATTTCCACACCAAGAATTTCCTTTGTAAGGAAATAAATAAGAGCCTAGCCCTTTTGCATAGAGGATGATTTATTTTCCTATAATACAACTTGAAAACTTCTCAAGAGTTCCAAATGTCTGAGGAAAATAATTTGTAAGTTTTAAAGTATAGCTGTCAAAACTCTAAAATATAACAAAGCCTCATTATGGAGGAAAGGAAACAAATCAAGGCATGGGTTGAACAGGAGTGGGCACTCCAAACCCCTATGGGTGCTATGGGTAGGCTACACTGGTGCTATGGGTAGGCTACACTGACTATAAGACTTTGACCCAAAACATAATGGCAAGATTTCCCAGATTACAGTCTGAGAGACTAATTAACAGATGGCATATCATTAGGACTTGCAGGCCTTAAATAAACCAGATTATCTTCACAACACTTTTATCAACTTATCAACTCAACATACAAGATGTAAGGATCTTTCTTCCTGGTCCATGTGCCTGCAACATTTCAAAATGAGAATCTTATTCAAGACACTGAACTTTTCACATTCAGAAGGATGAACTTTAAGAGAAAGTAGATTCCCTTCAAATAACCTCTCATGTAAATTTTCTACATATCCCAGAATTTTATTGAAATCATTCTACATCTACAGGGAGTTAAATTTAATTAAATATAACAGTAGTGCTCAATTCGTTATTTCAGATATTATCATTATTTGAATATCACTTTTGCTTCAACATAGATTTATTACTAGTAAAAGTTCATAACTAATTTTTAACAGGAAGAGTAAAAAACCAAAGCTACAAGATGATCTTGCCTTATTTAAAAATAAAGACTGAAGTAACAAATAACCACTCCTAAGATATTTTCATGTTCTTTAAACATAACCACAAAAGCAAATCAAATAGCAAGAAACTATTTTATGTCTTGGAGAAATTTTATTCTAAAGACGAGATACGCTATTACTAACAATTCTCTTTTTAAAGTTCTAGATGAAGACAGATGTTTAATATACTTTCAGTTATAAGTATTCTTAGAAGTTGTCACTGTTTACCAAAAATTTTGCAAAACTTACCCTCAAACCATCAATCCAATTTCAATTAATTTTAAGCAGAAATATGCGGTGAAAAGTTCRTTGGACTAAAAGACAATCAGTTACTGACAGCTATGGTGTATTTCCCACAAAAATACCTCATTTTCAGTATCAAAAATGATCTGTGGCCAGGCAAGGTGACACACGCTTGTAATCCCAGTGGCTAGGGAGGCTGAGGCAGGAAGATTGTGAATTCAAAGCCAGCCTCAGCAAAAGCAAGGCACTAAGCAACTCACTGAGAACTGTCTCTAAATAAAATAAAAATAGGGCTGAGGATGTGGCTTAGTGGTGGAGTGCTTCTGAGCTCAATTCCCAGTACCCACCCCCCAATCAAAAAAAAAATTGGTCTGTGATCTCTAGGGTCCAATGTTACTCTAAAATTAACTTTTCTATACTCTAAAATGAGACATGTGTTCATATCCTATAAGGTATCTGTGCTTTCCTGTATCTTGTTTTGTGGCCAAAATCAGATCTTCTATGAACAGAAACTAAATTTTTTATAGTTCTCTACTAAACAGTGGCTAACAATGGATCATCTTTTAACAATGTATCAGAAAATATAAATGAATCTGTGAATTGACTTCCTTTCTCCACTTTTATAATGATAAATGAAGCTGGTCTCATAACTTAAGTTCTATATTACCTACCTAACAATAGCAAAGACTATTACCTTTAGAGCTGATGTTTATCTAGACAAGGTATGAAGAACAAGCTAGTCCCACCAAATTTTAACAAATTACTCTGATACTGTAAAATTTTGTAGATACTTAAAGGAAATTGGTTACTTATGGTATTATTTTGACACTGTATTAACATTTAGATATTAAGCTTTTAACTTTTCACTTTAAATTTTTTTATAATTTTTATTTTTGTTTTAATTATACATGACAGTAGAATAAAATTATATACTTCAATATATCATACATAGATGAGATATTATTTTTCTGAGTGTACATGTTGCAGAATTACATTGGTAATATAGTCACATATACACATACAGTAATAATGTCTGTTTCATTTTACTATCTTTCCTATCTACCCATCCCCTCCCTTCCCCTTTCATCACTTCCCTCTACCTAATCTAAGGTAATGCTATTCTTCCTTAGTGCCCCCTGCCTTATTGTGAATTAGCATCCGCATATTAGAGAAACTATTCAGTCTTTGGTTTTGTGGGATTGGCTTATTTTGCTTAGCATGATATTCTCCAACTCCAACCATTTACTGGCAAATTCCATAATTTTACTCTTCTTTAAAGCTGAGTAATATTCCAATTTTTATAGTTGCAATCCTTTTTTACCAACTTAGAAGAGCCAGCTTAACATTCTCCACTATCTTTTTATTACAAAAAGAAAATTTCCACATTTCCAAGAAGTCAGATCCTTTCCTTTAACAGAAGTATTACTAGCATTAGTTGAGGTTTACCTTTAGATAACCCAACTTTGAAGGTTAAATTTTAATTTTCTACCTAAAATCTCATATTAATATTCTAAAAAAGGAACAACATTCAACACTGAAAAATAATTTGTTACACTTTAAACAGAATCTGACTTAATTGTACTTACACTGCTAGCCTGAAGCAAATCATCAAGCCACTATATCATCTAGAAAATAATTAGTATCTTTTGTTACAGATAATTTAATATCTGGAATGAAATATATTATAAACATATAAAACATATAAAGATATCTTAAGTATATGTCTATACCAATAAATGAGTCAATTATTACTTTTTCAAAACAACAACAACAACAACAAAAAAAAACCCAGGATAACCAGGTTCAAGAAAAATGTGAAAACCTAATTGACTCACTAGATTTCTATCCCAGCAATTTTAAACTCTCCCAATTGGAGTACAATGGTGTTTTTCTATTCTTTACACTAACATTAAGCATTAACATAATACCTAAAATGCTGGTGGACTGAATTAGAATACTGAAGGCCGAAGTATACAGAGAGCTATACCTATTTGCATAACCCTGAAGAAATAAAGCGTGACTTGTTTTAGTAATGATTAAGGCTACAGATATAGAACATAAAGCAAAAGTAATTGTTTAAAATGATTACTTGTGGGAATCAGGATTAAGGAAATGAAAAGACATGTGTTTCCTACATTTCATCCTTTATCCTACTATAATCTTAAGAAAATAATGACTATTTCTTTTCTAATTAAAAATATAACAAAAGGCTAGACCAGAAGCAGAAAGGGCCACCAGTGATTTGTATTTAGCAGGAACTCAATAAAAAAACATTTTGAATAAGCATATAAAGGTATACATTCTACCTGGGAGAAACTTGAAAATAAAATTCTCACTAGTGGTTCAAGAATGACAAAGCAGTTGTTGTTAATAGCTCCCAACTATGTTCTACTAAAAGATGAGAAAATTCACATAACTTCCCTGAGCCCCCAGTTTGCATGTAATTAAATACTATTATACAGCACTTACAAAATTGAGGAAATAAACTTTATGTCATTAAGTTATAATAAAATATAAAGAACACTGATGTGCATAAGTAAAAAAAAAATAATAATGATTAAAACCAGGGAACTTAATAGAAATACACAAGGTCATATGGGAAAGGAATAATAATACATACTTATATTGTGTGGGTTTAGAAAGAGATTTTAATTTAAAAATTAGCATAAGCGTCCTTGTGCTCTCTGAGTTTTAAAAAAACAAAAACTAACTGAAAGCTTTGCAAAACCCATGCAATATACTATAAAAGATCACTTATCTGTTATAGCCCTCCCTGGTAAGTCAATGCCATGCTCCTGTGCAGCTCAGTGGCAGGAGACATCACAGGCATAGAGTACCTTGAAGAGGTATTTGGAGATAAACCAGCCATCTACAACTTTGAGAAATCTCTTTAAAAAAAATGAACAACAACAAAACAGATATTTAAGAAACCTACCATTAAGTTTATAACTCCAAACTGAATAGTCCAAATAAGATGACTACACATAATCTCAAAGCAGCAAACACCACTTTTACCTACCAAATAAAATGAATTAAATTAGGATGAATGTGATCTACGCTTAACAAGTAAATCAAGCTGGTCAGCTGCAACCTGTTCTTTTGGAGAGGCTAGGGTATCTCCTGGTCTTAGCAGTAAGTGAGCAATAACTGTTCCGTGTTGATTTCTACCTCCATCATACTTACCCAAAAGTCACAAGCTGATGATGACAGCAGACCTCAAAATGGGCAGCACCTTGACTGAATTTATTCATTCTATACCTCAGAATTTATAATAAGATTGGTTAGGAAAAATTACTTTTGGACTATTTGGCTCAGAAAGTTTTTAACCTTAAAAATAAAYACAAAAAGTTTTTGACATTAACTTCATTATAAGTTATAAACAAAYGCGTTTTAAAAGAACAGTTCTATTTTTTTTTTTTGCCCACTTAGTGTTAAGGTTTCTGTGTCCTTTTCTTTTTGATATGAGGACAGCACTTTGATATCAAGTAAAATGTTCCTAATTATTAAATATAACCACACTCACCATGTTCCTACCCTATGGAAAATACTTCTTTATTTGCTAATTTCCACTTATTATTTTTAACAACCACCACTATAAATCTTTGCTATGTTATTTGAAAACAGCTAGTATAATTATATGGGAAAAACTCCAAAGACAAATTTCTGGAATCCCATTCCCAACAAATGATGTTTTTTCATCTCATGAGAATACAACATGGTCCCACACCTCTCCAAATACTTAGATACTGCGAAAAGACAAATACAGTAAATAATGAGAATAGAAAAATGAAAGATCTACACAGTCTCCCACATCCATGTCTCTACCATTCACTCTTTATTCTCCTACATCCATTTGTAACATTTTAACAAACACTAAGTTTTGAAACACATATCTAAAAGGATCTATAATTCAGTACCCTAGTTGAAGGCCATATTAGAACATAATGTTCCTGCTACAACTACAAAAAACTAAAGCAAAAATTTCTCAATACGGAAGTACAAATCAAAACAGAATGCTTTTCCTTGCAAATCATACCAGTTCTAATATTTATTAGCTCTACCATGAAACAAGGTTGTTTATTTTGTGATTTATAGATCTAAAAATTAAGCAAAGCAATAACAATTTTCATAAAAATATTAAAGGATTTTACTTCAAAAAGTTTATCAAATAAACTATTACATGACCAGACTTATGCTATAGCTCAATCCCTCATACAAACTGGTAAACAATTACTGAATCTATTATAAAAATCAATTTATAGACTGTGTTTTTAAAAGCTGTTAGTATGCTAGTCTTTGTGACCTAGTTACATGTATTATTTTCATCTTAGCTGTGAAAGACCAAGAATTTTTTTTTACTAATTAAAATATTTCCAGTTATTTGTGGTATATAATTGCTTTGATCCTAATTTAATGCCTCATTCTACAACAATTAAAAGCAATCAGAAGCATTCAGATCAAACAATACACTAAATTCCAAATTATCTGTAGTCAAATTTTATCAACTCTCACATTTTATAGATGGGAAAAGAGAGGCCCAAAGAGACCTGCCAAGATCCAGCACACATCCTTTCCCTTGTACCCTCATGTTGATCTACTCCTTTGGCTATAGGCAGGACCTGACAGAAGGAAGAGAATCAGTCAGCTTGTTTTCCTGGTTGATTCTGAGTTCTCATTGACAGCTCCAGAAATAAGAGGGGGAAATAAGGCAGTGCAACATGTACTGTATCTGGGGTAAATATTTTTAATATAAAATTTTAACCCTTAGAATGGTGGTTGCTTTCTCTACCTCAGATGAGTGACAAAGTTCACATTATTTCAATATGGCCCAAAGCTTGCTTGACTGTAGAAAAGGTTCTTATTTGCAATTGAAATAAAACATTTTGCTATAAGTATATATAATGTTATAAGATATGTAATGTTAAAAGTACTTTAACATTAAGTAGCTTAGAAAACCAATTTCAAAAAGTATTTTGTTCAAGAACAAAATTCATTCAAATACACTATTATGATCATAATACAGACAGATATTAGTTTCTGAAGTTTTAGTCAAAAGAAGAATCCACTGAGAGATGAACACACAACAGATTGCTTAATCACACTGAAGATACAGGATTTCCTAATCCAAAAAGTATGTACCTTTCAAAGAAAAGAAAATTAATACAACTTCATAATCTTCTTATTAATGTCAAAATTAGCCCTCATTACAGAAAAGATTACTAAGCAGGCTAAGCAAATGAATTTGCCTTGGTGATAAGGCAAATGTGAGTCTAATTCATGAATATGATTATTCTTCCATATTTTTCATGTTAGCACTATTCTAACTCTAGCTTTCGATTAGTTTCTATTTCTTTGATGATTGACATATCATATTTCATACATTAGATTCAAGTGGGGTTTGATGATTGAACCACATTATGATGATTGATATAATTCAGTAATTGTTAACAATTATGCTGAAGATAAACTTCTTTGTTTCTGCTATATTTATTCTAATTTTCTTTCTTTCTCTCTATGTGTATATATGCATTTTCTAGTAAAGATACAGGTAGGTACCTCTATTCCTAAATGTGCCATCTCTTCTCTATGTGTGTGTGTGTGTGTTTGTGTGTGTGTGTGTACACACACACAAACACACACACACACACACACACATTTTTCTAATGCAGTTGCAGGTAGATGGCTCTAGTTTTAAATGTGCTAATATGGACCACTGAAAAAACTCCTCAGTGAATCTGTAAACTTACTGCCATTTATAAGACAAATAAAAAAAACCTAATTATAAATTAACAAATAGTAATTCAGGCTTCTCATAGGCTTCTCTTTAATTGGCAATATTGAATAGAACATATTTAATCTGTTACTAATAATATTAATTCAAGTTTTTATCCAAAATTTTGAATCTTCAAAGCAGTATTTATATATGAGAAAAATTATTCAGTGAAACAGTATTTTACAATTGTGATATGTACTGTACTTCAGCTAATAATAAAAAAATCTTGTATGTGACCATTTTTCATCCTTAGCAGGTTCTGAAATTAAAATTAAGTATTATATGGAAATTTTCTTAAACTTTTAAAGGTTGCTTTAAAATGCCATTTATAGTTACCTGGTGGATATATTAGCAACAAAGCTATTTGTTCATTAATTTAAGAATTTAAAAAGTATTAAATACCTAAATGACACAAATATTTTTAAAAGTCATAATAATGTTAAAAAGGAAATACAAAAACTTTCAATAAAATAATATTAAATCACATGAAAAATAGCACTAATTTATATAGTGGCAGCTATTAATGGACAGAAATTAAATTAATCTTTCCATAAAATTAAAATATTTTAATCTATGGAAATGAGAGTAATAAAAGAACAATTCTATATTATAACAAAGTATTTGAACAAGGCTCATTAAGAAACTATTAAGAGATATGTAAAAATTTAGAGTAAAAATACAGTGTATAAAAAAATAACAGGCATTCAAARTTTTAAACTGCAATCAATTCTTAAACATGGCATGTATTACAAAAAACAAATCATATATTAGAATGAGAACTTAGCATGAGAGCTTTGGTAAAGCAACTTGCAGTGATTTTGTTGTCCTTCAAGAAAAATACATAACAAGACACAAATTTATAAATGATTTTGAAGGGAGCAACTTGAAATTGAAATTAGAAAATCAGAAAAATGAAGAAACTGATATTATAGCCTACAAAAATGAACATAGTTTCATAAATTGTGCAATCTATTCCTTGTTCTATAAAATGAGAAACATCTATTCCTTTAAATGAGCAATATTAGAGCATTAAAGTAACCCAAGCTATTACTGGATTTATGTAACTGAATTTACAAGAGAGAACTTTACATGACTGATAAACTGTGACTTGATAATTATAAGCACTGTAAAATGCTCTGTGCTTATTTAAACACACACACACACACACACACACACACACACACACACGGTAAAATAGAAATGTCCCATTATTTTTCTGGTGAACACTCAAAGAGCTACAAAACAGATAAACATTAATATGGAATACTACTAGGGAACATTAGCTCATGTTAAATCCAAGAAACTAGATTATCTGGTAGAATCCACAATTTGTTTAACTCTCTGTCAGACATTTTAAAAAGACATTTTAAAAAAACTTAGATAATTTTATCAATAGAATTTGTGTCTTTCCAATAATATTTTCTTCTATGTGGTACTCTCCTTTAGTTTCTTCTATGTGGTACTCTACCTCAGAGGCCAAATCTAAATTTTCAATCATTTGATTTGAAAGGGTTTTGAAAGTTAAGTTCCTATAACTTAAACCTGAAAATTTCCCCAGAGTAATTAACTTAAAAACTATTAAAAAATAAATCTCTTTTGTAAATAAGTAAATATATAAATTGGGAGATTAAAATGACTTGAAATTTCTGGTCTGATTTTAAATATAAAGGCCATTTTGTCTATATCTTCTAATAAACACAAACACCTGAGATACTGTCCCTACTTTTCACCTAGAAATACCCAGAGCAAGCATAGTAACTGGGAGTGCTATGACAATCACATATCTCAAACAGAGGCAGGTGCCCATGTACATGGGGGTGTTGTTTTAGAATTTTTGATATTCACCATTATGTAAAACAGTGTAACAGTATGAAAAATATTTCAAATGTTTTAAAACAAATCATAAACTAGTGAAAAATAAGCATAAATTAAACTAATAAACTACCAACAGTAATTATGTAAAGAAACTAACAATAAAGTATGAAAAAAGTCATTATTGATAAAAACAGGATATATATATAAACTAGCTCTGTGTGATATAAATAGTTAATTTTCTTTTATCCCAGAGTAATTAAAAAGACTCACTCCACAAAACAAGCAGACAAAGGTGATAAA